CACTATTGCATTTTCAGCAAGCAGATATCGGATGCCATCTGCTCTCCCAGATGCCATCCCTCTGATGGCCTTGGCATCACACGCCAGCAATGTGAGGTATGAGTTTATCTGGACACAGCCAGGATGTTTCACTATTTTGTACTGAAGCTCTGTTTCTCACCCCTTTCATTTATTTATTAAATCACTTAATAAAACATCTTTTGACTGTTGGACCTCAAAGCAGATGTGGTCATTGTTATTGTAACCAAGCATCCAAGACAGTTATGTTCTGTGTTTCCATTACTGATTAGTGGAAAATGTTACATACAAACTCATGAGGCATGTCATAACGATTTATTTTTTAAATTCAAACTCTTGTGTCTTTGAAGTCCAAACAACCAGACACGCATCTCTCCTTCCACAGGCTTTACATCTCTCTACAACGAAGTTCACACACACTCTGTGTTTGTATCTTGGTGTTGTGACAGCTCAAATCCTGCAGTGTTCAGTTCACATTCCTTTCATCCCAAATCCCCCAGGGGTCGGCCCCACCACTCCCAATCACAGTGTGAGAAAATCAGACAGATGCATGATCTGGCAGATGGTAGGAAAGTCCATGGTCAAAATGACATCTTTGTCACACATGCTGTACAGAGTCCATGCAACAGGCGCTTAACTGCGGCCATGAATGAACAGGTTTCTATCACAAGTCCTGCACGTTTCAGCCTGAAACGTTAGGAATCTGGTTAAGAAAACCATCGCCTTTGGTGTAGCGTTGCAGGGTGACTGAATTTGGATCAAAGACATTTGTTTCTTTTAAAAATGGTCTAGAGGGCTGCTCAGTTTTTAGTAACAAAAATACTTGCCATATTGGCCTCCTCTCCCCTAGGTTATTTTTCTTAACCTGAAACCTTCAATAAAAATATACTTCTTAAATTCAAAGAGCTGCACAGGATAAGACTTCAATACAACTTTCAAAATCACATTTCAAGCACAAAGAGAACAGCTGGTGACCTTATCCAGTGAATTAAAATCACAGAAAACACCTGAAATATTGGCCCAAATTCAAATTTTCAAAAATATTTTTGACTTAAGTTTAAGTTTATGTTTGAACAAATGCACCCAATACTTTTATCTTGTTGACAGCAGGGAAATGGTTCACACTGGGCTCAGTCAACCTGAGATCAGTGTACATGTCCACATCGTACCTGTTTATTCTGGAAGTAACTGATGAAAGTGTGCCCCCTAGTGTTTGAAATGTGCTTTACAGTGGAAATATGTTCTTGCCTGCTCTTAAATCCAAGAGGTAGAAAGGATAAAGCAGCTAAGTTAAAGTACACATACAAGTCAAAGCAATGCAATGACAAAGAGCAATAAATAATAAAATTTTAGGCAACCAGCAAACATTTGAATATTCCTTCCTTAGCTCACGACCACACCTTCTGCGTTTAAATACGTTTTTAACACTTCTTCCTTCCAGATATGCGCAGACGTCGTCCGATTGTGGAAGGGAAATGTAGCGCCGACCTCTTACACAGTGAGAAAGTAATGTCTGTTTTTGTGGCTGTACCTGTATCCACCGAGGAAGCAGACGTGGAGGAAGAGGTGGAGTTACGGTGCTCCACAGACACTTTACTGTGGGCATGATAAGAAGTCTGTGGCGGTACCGAGTGTAAATGTGGCCCGTCAGCATGAGTGAGGGGCCCGGCATGTTTTTCCTGATTTTGTTTTCCGAGTCCCTCCAGGTGGGCCTGGAAGGTAGAGATCTGTTGTTCCAGAGAGGTGAAATTCTCCTGCACCTTGTCAAACTGAACAAAGAGACATGTTTTTTTATTCCTGGTGCGCTTTTAAACCTTGTTAAAGCTGTTTGTCTCGAGTTTAGCGTACCTGCTCAATATTCGACTGAAGCAAGAGCTCTGGCCAAACTGACTCACTGCTGCTGTTCACGCTGTTGCTCATGTGGGTGTGACTCCAGGTTAACTCCTGTGGAACAGGGCATTAGATTTCTGAGTGAATACAACAATAACAGAAATAACATATTCTTTTTGTCTTTCTTGAGGAGTTTACCTGCAGTAGTTGTGTGCTGCCCTTCAAATGAACCTGACCAGACTGAAGTTTGCTCCTGTAGTCACCCAAGACCGACAACAAATTCTATGGCAAACACACAATATCATGAACAACACTC